AGCCCCACTGCCGCTCTTGCTGCTCCCTGGTGTCTTGTGGCCGGTCACTGTCGATTCTACCCAATTCTCCCGGTCTTCATGCAACTCATCTGCAAGCATGTAACTGGCAGAGTAACTGACGGACCGCTGGGACGGCGAAGCGCTCGGGGATCTGGATGACCGTTTTGCAAGCATCCGCATCTGGATTTCCTCTTCACTTTCGCTGTTCTCATTCACACTGCGATGTGCCCGTGCAGATGAAGTCTTTTCAGTGGCCTTGTCCACGTCTCTTTGGACGGAAAGGCTGCCGGAAACGTTGCGAGCATAGGGATGATGCCTGGAGTCCTTGCGGTGGGACTTGCGAGGCTGACCAGGAGTTGGTGCCGGCAAGGTGTCATCTGCGTAATGCGCGCCACCCTCATTGTGGTCAATCTCGCCTAGAGCCGACCGTTTCGAGTGGCTTCCGTTCGGGGGTGTGACCGTCTGTCCATTGCCCGCCCGTTGCTTCTGGGACGGGCGACCAGGCGTGACGGGCGCAGATAGAGCAAGCTTCTCTCTCAACGTGTCCTCGAACCACCATTCTCGGAAAGCATTTTGGTTGAGATGCAGCCAGTGCTGTTGAGGTCCCACAACCATACCCGGACGCATGAATCGCATAAACGCTATGATCTCATTCGCTGTGAAGCCGTACCGGTAAATCAGATACGCACCGATAAGACATCCCGTGCGGCCCAGTCCCGCCTTGCAGTGCACAGCAATACCCTTGTTCTTGACCGTGATCATCTCATGGGCCATCTTGATGAAGCGCCGTACCAAGGGCAACGGAGGGCACGTGCCGTCTTCGAAGATCATGTCGACATGGTTGATTCCCAGAGCAGTGAAGTAGGACGGAGAATAGAGTTCGGAATTGAGACGCACAACCAACCCGATATTTCGTGAGGCAAAATGCGCGAGAACATTTTTGAAAGGAACCGGGAGTTTCGAAGCGAGCACCTCGGAAACGGTAGAAGGAAGAGCGGCAAACTCCGGAGTGCCGGGAGGAATTGGTGTTACTGGCTGGTGCTGAGGAGAGGCGAACGCGATGAAGTGTGGTGTGATCCAGTTGAAGTCGCCCATATCCACTCGCTCATATCGTTCATACCTGATATCCGATCAGTATTTCTGGGTTACCAGAGCGTCAAATTCCGCCGACTTACTCTTCCAGACTAAAATCTTTCAGTCCGCACAAAGACTCTTCCTTGGCTTTCCAGACGCCGTACACGACGTCCTGAATACTTAGCACGTAATCCGCTTGGCTATAACCCGCGTCGCGGAACGGCATATACGGGGGATCCGCCTGAGCGATGGGCGCGAGAGCGAGATGCGGGGGCCAGGACTGGATCAAAACCATGTAGCATGCTACCAAGCAGGCGGCATTCGCGCGACTTCGCGAGTCCGGCTTGCTCCAAAACACCACCGCACGGTCATTGTTTGCGGGGTCGCCCAGGATCTCATGGAACTGAACCGCAAATCGGTACAGATGACCGATGTGGAGAGGACCAAAGTCCGCATGGAAGGCGTTGTACAGCAGAGTGTCGTCCACCGTAAAGTATACAGGAATTTTGTTTTTGGGACCTGCCTCCGGACTTTGCTGACCTTTGGCGGATCGCTTACTGGGAGATCGGGGCTGCTGGGAAGGATATGGGAAGGGCGTGTGGGGGTCTGGAGGAGAATCGTAGGAGGCGAGATAAAGTCGATCTGCCGCCAGTCAGCGTAAGCCTCCAAAACGTGGTGACCAACTCCTGGGCCTTTCCGCAATGCGGGCGCTGCTCGCGAAGATATTCATACCTTGTATATACTCGATCACCTGTCCATAACCGGCTGAGACGGACGGCATTTTCTTGTCTTTGCTGCCGGCAACTGCGGGCAGGTATAAAATATGGCCTTTCGAAACGCGGGAACCGGGAGATTTGGCGACACGGCGCAGGAATCGCGGTCGGAAAGAATACAGCCTCGTAAGTACGAGCAATAAGATAATCACCCAGATGAGACGGAAGGAAAGGCTGTCTCAGAGCTGTTCAACCATGACCCGGTGACGAGTGGCTCAATTGCAAATCTCACTGCAACGCAGGATGAGGAATGGGTAGGTAACTAACGATAAATAGTGAGATGCAGTGAATAACCAGCCTAGATACGGGCTCGAGGAGCAAGGAGAGACGGTGTGCTATGGGAATAGAGGCGAGAGAGAAAGCAAAGCATAGCACTCAAGATAAAGATTGATGCCGCTGCGTTCTGTCCAGCAGCTGCGACGCACGCTTAGTGGCTGTTGTGTTGTGATTGCCCCGATGCGGTTAGCGGCGTGCCGTTGACAGGACAACGGGCGGGATGCCTGAGGCGGCGACGCCGTCCGCCTATCGCTGTTGCCGCCAGCAGGCCGTTGCGGGCCGCTCCCGCCTTTTCCAGACTGGCGTCGACTCACAACAAATAACCATTGCAAACACACAACCAAGCAAACACGGCAAACACGGCCAGTGCAGGCCAAGGAAACAGCCTCCGGTCAGGAGTCACTCAGGAGCCCCAAGGCCAGCGTCTTTTCAGTTCACTCCCTGCAGAGCATGACAGCGGACACGGCCTTGTCATGATTTCGCTCATCTGTTTGCCTCGTTCCGATTCCCTACTCGAGTATTCAGACCGGATTTAGCAAGGCAGCGAAGACCCAGCATGACTCGACAGGCGCGTCTCGACTCCGGAATATGACAATTAGAGGATGGCAAACCTTGGTGTTACTGTCGATTTTCCAGAAGCCAATTTTGCCCGATTGGGAGCAGCGGCGTGGATTGTCAGGCAGGCATGGGAATCGCTGTCAACCGAGGATCAACTGAAGCATGATGGTCGTTGACAGCCGGCTCCCAACCATATATGATCAACGACACACAGGAGCAGAGCAATCTCCCTGTTGTCAAAGGCGAGAGAGTTCTAGACCTAAGGCGACTCGTACATACTCCGTACAGGACTCTGCCTCGCAGTGCCTGTGAGTCTGAGCAACGCAGCCATACTCCGTCCTCATGCCTCCACCAGAGTCTCCTCAGCCACGGATTCTTCCCGATGTGTGGCGTGCCGTTACGGAGTATTATTATTGCAGATCAATCGAGGTAAAAAGGACAATTGGACAGGCATTCTTATCAGTACGGAGTACAGAGTACGGAGTACCCCGTACAAAATTGCCGGGGCTCTGCTATCTCTGGACAGTCCCAGTCAAGCTTCACGACTCCAGGTTTACCTCTGATTCCGATCCTCACTCGGATAGCTTCCAAGTCCGAGTTCAACGATCGGCAGGGGCTCACATTTGCCAGTATATAAACTACGGAGTACTCCGTACTTCTCGATTTAATCTATCCTTAGCGGCCAGGGTGGAACGAACTCAATTTTTTAGTTAGATTAATTAATTATTGTTAGTTTGAGTCTTTGAGATCGTCTGTACGGAGGACTCTGTGCCCATTAACAGGATTTGATACCATAAAGCAGATACTTGAACTTCAGCAGTCGAGCTGACCCCGGCGAAGCATGTCTTTCCGACCCGGCACATAGACAACACAGTCAAAGTTGAGACTTCCCATGTAGCTATAACGCTGCCTCAGCGATCGTAAAGTCAATTGCCACTCCTGGACTGTACTTCGTATTGACAACGTCCACTATCAGCCAAACGGCGGTCTGCCTGCCCTCTGTAAGTGCAGTTGTGGGAAATACCGATCAGCGTGTAGTGCAACATGGTTGGTGAGTGGGATCCATTTGGATAGGCTAGCAATGAGGTCAGAGAACGAGGATCAACACAAATGTGTCAAGGATCGGCATGTAGTCAATGCTTAGTCTGCACGACGGGGAGCCACCGGAGGAGTTGAGAGGCCGTGGCGGCTAGCAGCGCGTGAGCTTGTGGCCGGCTCTCCCCATTTCCCCCCGCATCGGCGTCCCTGGACTTTGTCCGCGCGATGCTTGACAGGCGCCACAGTCCACCACGCGCTGCCGGCCGTTTGAGTCGGTTTGACCTCGTTTCAATCGAATTGCACCCTTACTGTCGATTCTAAGCGTTTACACTGCCCCCACGACAAGAGCAATTGGGCCGAATCCTGTTATGGCCTCGTGGAATTCATTATTGCCAAGCATTTGAAATGACGTTATTTTTCCGATGGGCGACGCCAGTGCTGCCCTATTGTACAGTGTACTGTGAACCCGTCTCATTTGCAATCAGCGCGTAAATTCACGAAAGGATAGGCTAATGCAGGGCCAGTGATGAGAAGAATGATTATATTCGCCCATCAGACCCACGTTTTACGGGTGGGCGGCGACTAAACGAAGCCTGATTGTGATTAGCTTTACCTCCCCTGGCAAACCCGGCGTCCATCCTGACGATAACAAAGAACCATTTTTCCAGAACGGTGCTGATCTCTATTGTTTGAACACACTATTGAACATTGCCATCCCCTGAGGGAGGCCAACGACGCACAAGCCTCAAGGAATCCATACGATGAGGGAACCCGGTCACCATCATGGCGGGTCTGTCCTACGCTGGAAAAGGGGCGCTTTGCAAGGTCGTGATTTCAACGTGTATATAAACCGGTCACCAGCCTGCGTCGATACCTTAATTCTTCTTTCTTCAACCTCACAGACGGTCGTTTCTCTGCATCCATTCTTGCATTCTCTCTCTCGCATACCCACTTAGTCACTCCTTTTTTGTGTCACTCTTTTTGCAAAAACACCCAACTACCAGCAAAATGAAGTTCACTGGAATCGTTGCCGCTCTCGCCGCTGCTGGCGCTGCCACTGCTGCTGCCATTCCCCGTGACCAGCAGCTTGCTCCTGCCACCATCCAGGGTGCCCTGGACCAGATCAACTCCATCCTGGGTGGTCTTGACGGTGTTGTCGGGGACACTGTCAACACCGCGTCCGGCCCTCTCGACGTTGCTGGCCTCAAGAATGGTAAGACAAGATCCTTTTAGTCAATCGCATTTGATTCATACTGACCTTGCTCGCCACCAGAGCTGAACGGTCTCAAGGCTCAGCTGACCAGCCTCGCTGGCGGTGCCACCGGTGCCGTTACCAAGCGGGACCTTGTTGGCGGTGCTGTTAGCACTGTTGGCGGTGTCGTTGGCACTGCTACCGGCACCGTTGACCAGGTTGCTGGTCCGGTTACCACCCCGGTTAAGGATGTTGTCGGTGGTGCTGTCACCACTGTTGACAGCACTGCCAGCAACGTTGCTGGCTCTGCCCTGGGCGGTATGTGACCTGCAGTTATATGTCAATTTGTTCAATGGCTGATTGATCCTAGTTGTCGGAGGCGCTACTGGTGATGTCCTGCCCCGTGACGTTGACGTCTCCGTCCTGCTGCCTCTTGCTCAGCAGGTCGTTTCTGACGTCCAGGGTAAGATGATCTTCCGATTGAGTTAACTGAGGCAATGGCTAACGAGTTCAATAGGCAACGTCGCCCCCGAGACCATCGTCAACGACGTCAACGCCCTCACTCGCCAGACCTCCCTGACCATCTCTGTCCCCCTGAACCTGGGCGCCATTCCCGTCCTTGGCAACGTCGCCAACTAGGCAATTAACAGGGAAATAGTCTGGCACTTTTCATTGGTCAATGTTCTTCAGCGAGACTTCACGAGCAACAAAGCGCAAGACGTCGGTGTTAATGTCTAGCCTCTTCTAGATGAAGATACGACCACTTTGAAAAGTGGCAGGGCAATATTTTTTTGCTTTTCTTCAGTCACTCCGGTGAGGATTTCCAGTGTACAGCTTTTGCTGTGGTGGAAGTTTTTTGCAGGAGATTCTTCGTCGTTGGTGTATGTACATTTTTATTCAATGCTCAGCGGCCGACCTTTTATGATGATGTGTCATTAGATCGTTGTTTCGAGTAATTCTGAAATTGTGCATTCTCATTGCGTTGACTGTAGGCGTACTCCGGAGTAGTGTTTCCTGAAGAGGTAGGTGATACCTTGAACCTGAGGCAGAAATGATGAGTCATCCAATGTGCCGAAGACCCCACCACCATTAGGACTTCCTCGTGCCTGTAGTTACCAACTTTCAACGGACATGAGTTTTCAGAAACCTGCATTTAATTGAAGTTCATAAATATATAAACTCTACGTTCTTATTGGAAATTTTATTTATCTGATCTGTCAGTCTTCAATCGAACGAATTAACGAAGCGCACACAGAGAGAGGCGGAATACAGTCGACGACTTCGCCCGATTCCTCGATTCGCGCAGCACTCAGAACACCATGACTACGGACGACAATTCCCAATTTCCTTATTCACTGTCAGTACAATGAGCTGCTCTCTTCCTCCCTACACACTAATGCGAAACCCCTATTCCTAGCCATTGTCAAGAGGCAAATATATTCTACTTTACCCGGCCGCTAACGGCGTCTTTCAGAACGATCTCTGTTCCCCTCCCAACCCATCGTCTTGCTTCTTCCGCCCTTCGTGCTCTCCAAGTCGATGCGGAGCTATCTCCTTTCGTCAGACGGAACCTTGCACTGACCGTCCCGCCGGGTAAGATTGCTGATTCCAATACCGAGTCAGCAGAAGAAATGAAGACGGTGCTCGAGACCACATACCAAGCGACAACAAATCGAATGCTGAGGGTGGCTGTGAACGGTTTTATGGAGAGCTTGGGTGTCGTGTTGGGAGTCATGGAGGAGCTGGATGTCGACGTTCTAAAGGAGGAACTGGGACGGTGAATTCGATCGATTTGACCGAGCTGGGCTGGTACGGGCCATGTCGATGTGTTCGACTAGGATGGTACCATTGCGCTACTGTGAAGCGATCGCACACTCATTCATCATCCCCAGCCTGTAAACCGCTGGGGGAAGACTGCTCGATACGCATTGGTTGATATTCCTACGAGAGCAGTGGGTGGTGGTTCCAGAGTCAGAGCATACAGAGAGAAGTGACACGCGATGCAGAACCCCTAGCAGGACTTCTGGCGGAAGACCACGGAAGATTCCTTACTGTTCTGGGATTCTGCATTCGCCAATGAAGCAGTCGGAACTGGCTTCTGGAGATGGCGACTGTGCTCTGTCTCTACCCCCATCCACTCAGGCCGGTTCCTAGTCGCGGCGCAAAGGTCGAACACCTATGGTGAATCCGGGTTATTCCGGTTTCTACTTGCAATGAACATTGCGGCGGTTTAATTTTCCGGGGAGTAGGCCTTGAATCAATCTTGCCTCCTCTTCGACAAGAAGCCTTGAGATGTGTAATGCCAAGCTTATCGGGTTGACCATAGGTATACTGTACGTCTATGCAGAGTGTGTGCATAGTCATACGCCAAGTTCGAATTGAAATTCATTGACATAGCCAATCATGAATCTACCTAGTAGAAAACACGATTTCCCCTTTCAAGTGGACCGTTTTTAGCTCCTGCGACAATTATTAACTATTGACTAGGTTTTTAGTCATGGACCACGCTATGACAAATACTCCCAGAAAATATATAAATTAGGTAGCCTCGGTCAGTCGGATCGCCATGAACCGAGGCATGGTTAGGACGCCAAGAGTGTCTACGTACCTCAGAACTAATCGTTTAAGGGATAACGGAAGGAATAATTTGGAGCATCTTGTCAGACTCGTGGAGCTTCTGCTGCTGTTAAATGGTCGATACACAGCTGCACTGCTGCAGTGCCTTAGGCTATACTCCCAAAGTCAATGCCGCCGTTAGCACGTGCATTTGTCATATCGACCCGCAACCTTGACTCCACTTTATCGGAGCACGTATTGCCCGTTTCGGCCTCGGAAGTTCCAGCCTACCGAGTCAAGCATCAGCTCCAGACCCATTGGCAGGGTGTGGGTAATTCAGCAATGCCTCTTTAAGTACTGCGTACATGTCAGCCATCGCGAACTTCTCCATCTCCTTTCAATCCGTTCTCTGAGCTATCCGCGCATGCTCAAACGCCTTCATCGCGCCGTTCCTGTTCCTAGCGCTGCCTACCGTCGTCGGTCGCCGACGTGCATCGTGAGACGATTCCCGCATTCTGAAACTCGTGCCCCTCCTGTCGCCAGCTATTATACCGGCCTATTCTCGCGCTATTCTATTGCGACTCCGTTCACATCGTCGAAGCTCCCTCGTCCTTCGTCTTGCTTGACTAGCATCGCATCTGCCCGTTCGGGACCTCCTACAAGCAGATACCCCAATTGTTTGCGACTTCATTACAGCACCATGTCTTCTGCGACGACATTCTACGATTTCGAGCCTCTTGATAGTATGGATCTCCCCTTTCATGACTCCATTACTCGTGTTTTACTTTCTTGCATCCTTTCCATGGCGCATTCTGTTTGAATCATGAGCTTTGCGCTAACCGAGTGGAATTATTTCTGGACTTTTAGAAAAGGGCGATCCCTTCCCCCTGTCCTCGCTGAAGGGCAAAGTCGTCCTCGTCGTTAATACCGCCTCCAAATGCGGATTTACCCCGCAATTCAAGGGTCTCGAACAGCTCTACAAATCCGTCAATTCCAAGTACCCGGACTCTTTCACCGTCCTCGGTTTCCCTTGCAACCAGTTTGGCAATCAGGACCCCGGCAGTAATGACGAGATCCAGACGTTCTGCCAGGTGAACTACGGTGTCACTTTCCCCGTTCTGGGAAAAATCGATGTCAACGGCAGCAACGCCGCCCCCGTCTTCGAGTGGCTCAAGAGCGAGAAACCTGGCATCATGGGACTCAAGCGAATCAAGTGGAATTTTGAGAAGTTTCTCGTTGATAGCAATGGCAAGGTTGTCGGTCGTTGGGGGAGCATTACGAAGCCGGAGAGTCTCGAGGATACGATCCTGAAGGAGGTCGAGAAGGCGAAGAAGCAGAGTGAGGCCCCCAAAGAGGAGGCCAAATTGTCTTAACCAGTAATGTTTCGTTTCTTCTTTCCTCCATTGCTGACTTTGTTTGCGTTATGATAACGAGAGACATGTTTATACGCTCGTTTTGTGTTACATTGATTGTTCATGGATTTTCTCGACGTCACGTGATTATATACCAAGCATCTGTTTACTGAACGTCATTTACAAGGCGTGGACCTTCAACCCACTCGTTCATTCAGCGAGATGACCTTTGAGGACTTGTTTCCTGCAGAGAGTTATTATTCAACTCAAAAGAGAGATTTGGGTTGAGAACTTGCTTCTACTGAGATTGCTGAATTTCAGTCCTGGAAATTATGGAGAACCATTGCCTATTTTTTATATAATCTTATGCTGGTCGACTTCAGTGAATGGCATATAATTATGTGAACGAAGGAAGCATCGTTCATTAGTTCAGCATTTCTTTTCTGCATTGCTATCTATCTTATCGTATCCATTCCCCGGTCACGAACAAACCAACAATCGAACGCCATGATCCTCGAACGTCCTTGCCATCGTTGGAATAAGAAAAAGAAAAGGAAAACAAAGAAAGAAATACGTTCCATAGATTTATTTTCCTCAATTGTATCTCAACCTCAAACCGCAGCACTTCCCTTTGGAATGAGGTTCCTCAGTGAGAGGTCATACACCACGTCTTCTACCTTTTTGACCTGTTGAAAGAAGAAAATAACAAGCGTAAGTTTCTTCCAGATACAATCTGAATGAATGAAGCAGCAGCAGCAGGGAAGGGGGAAACCTACGCTGTATTTAATCCCATCACTCCTCTTGCGCAAGATGTCGTTCTTCAGATTCAGCAGCTGGAATCCCGCGAAGAGGTCTTTGATGAAGGCGTTGATCTGGAGCGGGCGGTGGTAGTCGCCCAAGGTGACCGAGTTGACGGCGAGACGGGACTGTTTGTCATTCTGCGTCAGATCATCTTGACAAGACTGAAGAAAGGAAGAAAGAAAGAAAGAGGAGTGCTCACCAGCTCCTCAACAAGCGAGATCAATGCAAGGAGATACTCCTCGATCGTGAGGTGGAAGGCGTCCTCGCCCTTGAGATTGACGGGAACTTTGCGTCGATTAGTCAATTGAGTCGGTTAATACGACACGCATCATTCTGTTACAAACCATCGAGAAACTTTCCAACCTCCTCGATCGTCAGAAAGGAGGAATTGGCTCCTTTGTATTCTGAAAGACCGCCTAGCCATGCACAAAGCTCGATCGAGAATACCTGTGACAGGGGGGTTTTTCAGTATGTATTCATTTCACTCGCGTTCATCCTGGAAGGAAATTCTGGTTGACAAGAATAAGAAATGGCTGAGCTTACCAGATTCTGCAGCTCGCGTGTCCACACGCCATTGTACTTGTAGAACGGATGGTGAGATGCCACGTACGCCAGACGAGAGACATCCTCCTTCTGGGAACGGATCTGCTCAGCTGCTTCGTCGAGGATTGGTTTCACTTTGAGTCGCATGTCAGTATCAATCGGATTCTTGTTTGTGAGTTCCGTCGTCCAGGTAGTCAAACAAAGGGGCTCGATGGTAATGATGGCTACCAAGCGCATGCAGGGTAACAGAGAATGGAAAGCAATGACATATGAAAAGGCGTATTTCTTAGAGAGAGAAAAGACCTACATTGATCCTCAGGAGTAGAATGCGCCCTTGAAAGGGTTGCCTGTGTCGTTCTTCCTGCAGCATAGTAATAACCGTTTCAGTGAACCTGTTCAAGTCTAACAAAAAAGAGGGTAGAGAAAATAAAAAGAAAAAAAAAAGAAGAAAAGACGATTTCCCAGCAAAAATGCAGCAGTGGAATTATATAGCACATATGACTGAATCCGATTACTCCAGTGTACGTCATTCCAGAAATAAAACCAACCAACCAACCTTTCCTTGCAAGCGACTGGACAATATCATGAAGCTCCTATATATAAAGTCGAGAATCAGTCCGCATATTCTTTGCAACTAGCATTTTATTATCTTTCTCCAGTCTTGTCTTCGAGATCTTCGTTCGAGACAGAATATTTTTTTTTCTTTTCTTTCCATAATCTTGTTTTCATGAAACTAGGAGACACAAAAATCAAGGACAAAAAAAAACACGAAAAACTCACATCCCGCACGGCAGTCTCCTCATCGATTTTTGCCTGGAGCTGCTCGAAAATCGCCGGGTCGATCATTGTGGAGATTATGTTGGTGGGCTGGCTTTTCTCTTTCCTCTATGGAGTTGAGTGGGTAGGTAGGTAGGTCTTCGGAGATATATGTTATTGACGCCGTTGTGACTCGTGAGGTAATTAACGTTATCGGGTACCGCCACGGGTAGGTTAGACTGACGGTATTTGACTTGCGTCCCTCTCTTTATCAACACATGGGGTTATTTATGATCTGCTGCATGAAATTTAATTTGGATATTGGTTACTTTGTTCAAAATACGTTATTTCAGAGTACAGTACATACAGATTTGTTTTCGGTGGGAAGATAGTACCAAAATAGATATTCCTATAGGCTATGAAACAACTATGCTCAGCGATTATCGAGAGACTACATTTGTGAGATTCATACAACAGAAATCATTTTGATTCTGTTAGAAAATACTGCAATAATGCTCTTATTTCAACATATTAGGCGTACCGACGCCTGGAAGAGTGCTCTTCCCAAAGAACTACAGCCAAAAGGGACTATTCACTTGGAGGATAGACCTAATCATCGTGCCGAATTTCCTCTCTGGATCCAAACCAAGAAGAATGAACGTCTGTGGAGTCGTCCGTCATACGAGACTAAACAGCCAACCCATAGCGAGTGCTGTCAGAAGCTGACTCCATATCACCAAGTCTCGCTCTCATACGACCCTGTTTCTATGTCTCACTGTATCAACAAAAACAAGAGACGTCAGGAGTCTTAGGAGCTTTCACTGTTCGCAGTTTCATATCGGAGTGACAGTGTAAGCGTTTTCGAGAGGCCACTAAGATTCTTGAAGAGGAAAGATCGTACTCGTTTTGTGGACGCCTGTTTAAACTCTCCATGTTTATTAACATGACTAAAACATATTGAAACCTAAAACGACAAGCTTGCCTTGAAATGATTCCCACAAAAATGCGCCATTGACCTTTTAACCCAACCACCTCGCGTATCATGGACCGCCGATCAACTCCCGCAGACCACGGCGGACAAAAAGCAAAGCATAGAGATAGATTGACGGCAAAACGATTTCAGTACCGGTATCTGGTAGAATAGTCTAAAGTCACAGGCAGTCAGCATACTGCAAGACAACGTGGACCATGATTATGCGGATGCTCACCTTTCGGACTGACGACCAGACCGCGCCCTTTCTTCGCGCCCTTGTAGATCGTCTCGATGATGTCGATCAACTCCTGCTTGTCCTCGAGCACCCAATTGAGCTTGTTGTTGTTGCCCGTCCCGAAATCGCACATCATGTGCTTGTTGCGGAAGAAGAACATAATCGTCATCGGATCGTAGAGCTCGTACATTTCGTTAAATTCCGGAACTTGGTCGATATCGCAGAGGTAGATCACGGCAAAGTCTAATGAGAGGCCAGTCAGCGTCATGCACGAAACGCCGAACGTGGGGAACTCAGATCCACTTACTCTTAACACGTTCCGAGATCTTGTAGAGAATTTCATCCTGCCGCATGCCTGAGATATGCATGTCAGCCTCGATCAGGACCAACATAGTCCTGCGGGAAGTACTTACAGTCAGGATCATGATCCCGGCCAAATCTTATGACAACAAGCCTGAATGAAGAGTTAGTATGGAGACAGAGTTCGAAAGAAAATGGCTTCGGGAGAGCATACCTCTCTTCCTCGCTAAGTATGGCCTGGTCCACATGCCAGGCAGTGGGAAGATGAGGAAGGACAACGGAACCCATCTTGAGCGCTGTTGTACTCTATCATTCATGTTAGAAGCGTTGATATGAACGTTATATAGAGGGGCTCAGGCTGACCCACCTTTGCGGAAGGTTTAGATCAAACGCTTTAGGAAGGCGGTCAAGGACTCCAGCGGGCGCAAACGGCGCAAACAGCAGCCAGCCTCTTGCTGCAGATGACGCGGTCGGAAAAAGCTTCAAAGAGAACCGCGGAGAGCTGGGCTGTGGAAGATAACGTAGTACAGAGTACGGAGCAATCTTACAAGACTAAGAGTTCAAGAACTGCAAGTTGCGAAAGATCAACAGCGTTTATATTCATCTATCTACGGTGGGAGTACATACAAGTTTATCTGCAACTCATCAAGTCGCCACACAAATTCCACGGCACGAGTGCAGTAACCCATGCCGCCACCACTGGCCTCCACTGCCTACGGGCTACAGCTTCAAAATCGTCTATCTACACTGTAGATCACACCAGAACCTTCTTCTCCAACCCACCAGACAAGCCGATGACGTTGATGAAAAAGGTGGTGTTCGCGTCACTCGGTGGTAGTGTAAGACCGAGGACACGGTGCGACGAGGTGTGCGCAAGCGCAGAGGCCCCATCGCGCGGTCCAAAAATGAGATTAATCAATGTTGTGTTCCGTAGAACACTTTCAGAGATTAAACTGAAAAGAACAGATACTACACTTGATCTAAGCCAAAAGGCAAAGAGAGCTGGAGAAGAAAAGAAGAAAAAATCCAAAAGGACGGGGGAGGTGAGGGATATTTATACCTTCAGTTCGATGGCCCGTGCGTATGATGCATGCTAAGCGAGCCAATCAAGTCGGTGTTGCCTAGTCTGCTGCCTATGGGGGCCAAGGCAACAGTGCAAACTCGACATATGTTGCAAACCTATCAAAAGCGCAAAGCCTATGCAACTTTGCCCTAGCCCTAACTCCTACCCAAACGGTTGCGAACGCACATCGCCCATTGTGCACAAGGGCTTTTTTGGCCAGCGGTCCACAGCAGTCTTAATTTTCGACAACCCGCAAACCCACCACGAAAAGGCGCAGGATAATCACCTCTTTGCGACCTTATAACTTCAATCAATTCACAAATTCCCATCAATCGCAATGGCTCCCGCTACTGTACGTTAAAAAGAACCGCTTTGCTGTTCCCCCATGAGCTTTTCTTCTCGCTTGGTCTCTCTCTCTGCCAGGGACCAAGTCCGAGATGAAAACCTCAAGGGATTTCAACAGTCATGGAACAGTAGGCTAATCATCCTGTTTTCGCGATCATTAGGCTCGTTCCAAGAAGACCCAGCGGGTCACGAAGAAGGTAAGGCATATCATTCATATCAATTGCAACAAGAGTTCATAGGGGCATGCCGTTGACGTGTAAATCTATAGTTCGTGATCAACGCCTCGCAGCCCGCGAGCGACAAGATCTTCGACGTCTCTGCCTTCGAGAAGTTCTTGCACGACCGCATCAAGGTTGAGGGCCGTGTTGGCAACCTGGGTGACAATGTCCTGATCTCTCAGTCTGGTGACGGCAAGATCGAGGTCGTCACCCACATCCCCTTCTCTGGCCGGTACCTGAAGTACCTGTACGTTGGACCTAATCTTTATGTCGCTCAAAAGTATACAAGGCACTAACATAATTGCTATCTCAGGACCAAGAAGTTCCTCAAGAAGCAGCAGCTCCGTGACTGGCTGCGTGTCGTCTCCACCTCCAAGGGTGTCTACGAGCTCCGCTTCTACAACGTCGTCAACGACGAGGCTGAGGAGGAAGAGGAGTAAATTGACTCTTCCGGGAAACTGAGGGGTGAAGAGCACTAGTTGGGGTGCTATGCGGTCATTCAGACTACCATCTGGATCCAATGGTGGGATAGAATTGGCTGTAGTGGTGGACCAAAAAAATAAGAAAAGACCCTTTAACCAGGGCGCTATGATATTGATATCCGAGTGTTTGTGTGTGGTTTCACGGGCGGCTATGGGGGGCCTAGGATGGGAGCCATCGTCAGTTGATGCTCAATATCTAATGTCCCTTTTAGACGGTCTGGGAAAGCATGCATCAATGCTGTCGGATCATGTCTACTCAGGATGTTATGAATGGTAGATACGAGTCGACCTTATGGTCAGCCAAAAAAGAAAAATAGAAAAAAGTTTTTGAAAAATCCATCGACTATGCCTCTAGAATTAAGGCTATAAGGGACCCCCCGCATGCAAATGTTGCTAGAAAGAAAAAGTCATAACATATAGTACAGTACACTACTATCCAAGGGTATCTATGAGATAATTGGGACGATACTCCAATTGACCACAATCGTAGTCTCCAGGAGCATCATCATTCAATGTCGGGCCCTGTCTCTGTACCTAACCCTAACCCTAACTCTTCCTCTTCTGTCCGGCTCCAGGGCCCAGTCCAATTGAAGGACCAGCGTCTGAACCAACAGTCTTACCTGCTGGCGGTACAAGCTTGTCCCCTTCAATGGTCCACCCTTGCCGTTTGAGAACCTTCCATTTCTCAGCAGCCTTGAGTCTCACGAGGTCGCCTGTGGCTCTTGCGTCTTCCTTCGAGTCGTGGCCCTTGTCGCCCCCGGTTTGGATGTCCCGATCTAGATATGTTTTTGATAGGTGCTTCAGACTGAATCTCATTGGAAGCCCCTTGGGATGCGGATACAGGAAAACGGTGTCGATGACAGTCGGGTGAATGATACGACAAGCATTGAGATCATTGTCGATAGCATGTCCGATCAAAGGGGTATCGGGCTGAAGCAATTGGAAGAGCAACGCCCGTGCTGCAGCAGGCGAATCAACGACCTGCATGGGAGGGGTTTTCACTTCTCCATCCTCTGACGTAGTGTCAGGAACTGGCGTGCCATAAGGTACAGCCTTCGCATAATGTTCTGGCCAAATGCCGGAGAACTTAGAATTAAGGTCCAGAACTTCACCTATCGGCTTGACAAGGACATCAAGCAGCGTCTCGCCCTCAGGCCAGCTGAGTGCAGTCAGACGGATCAATTCCATACCGAGAGTCGTGTAAGCCATCTCGCAATCGAAGGATATGGGTTTCTGCGGTCCTTTTTCTGGCTGAGCAGGCGTCTCCTCAAACTGAAGCACAGCGGCCAGCCGCTTCGCTTCCGTTATCTTGAAGACGTGATGCTCTGCCTTGGTGCATCCTGCAGAAGTCCCCACAGTCTCATTGCAACAAGGAAAGTACGCGTCTCTGCTGCCAGTGATGTGATCTGTCGGCTTCTTGGCAGGCCGGATGGGCTTGCCTGGATGATAAGTGCAATGGCCCCCCGTGGCCAGGGTACCGTCTTCACGACGACCTGGAAAGACCTGAAAACGTCCCGCGCACCGATCGCATTTTTCCCAGCCCTGAGCTGCTTCAACGCCCCTTTTTGCAGATTCTATTTCTTCCTTGCTAGGTATCTTTGTGACATAGCCAAATTGCTCTTTCCCTTTCAGGTCTGTCACAAGCTTTGCTGCTATTGCAATCTCTTCATTCGCAGTTAGACCAGTCGTAAGCTTTTCAGGCTTCTGAGAGATCTGCTTTGGCTCAATCTTATAGTATCGCGCGTTCAGATGCGCAAGGACCTCTTTCTCCCATTCCTCCATGGCCATCTTTTGGAACTTGACAATTCTGAGCTTGATAACATTGGAATATATTTTAGGGTTGTCCCTTGCTGCCTTCTCTTCCTCGTCCAGGGCCATGATAATCAGCTCGTCGGGGGAGAGGATCAGAGCGGACTTCGACTTGTCTTTGAGCTCTTTCATCTTTTCATTCAACGCAGACATCGCAGCATGTAGCTTGTTCAAGATAGACGACCGCACTGAATGAGGCGCTGGCGCTTTGCTGAGCATGCGCGGGTTTAGAGATTCTTTTGGAGCCTGCCTTGGAGGGAGCTTGGCTTGATTAGAAGCATCTGATGACTGACTGGGGACGCCTTTAGTCACTTGTGTCTCTGTGCTTGGTCGCGTCCGCGTAGGAGGCGGGGAGACCTTTCTGGTGATTGACTGAAGACCGCCGATTTCTCGACTTGACGTCTGCTCGCCTGAGGATCGGTCTTTGGGGGTCTCATCGTGGCGAGTCTGTTCGCTGCTTATTTCCCTGCGGATTGAATTAGATGAAGACTTAGTCTGCTCCGTTTTGCTTTCATTGTCTCCTGCGAGCTTTCTCCGCTTTGCTTCGGACACTGGAAGAGACCCATCTCCAGCTGGAGTAGAAGTAGCGGTAGTGGTAGAGCGTGGGGTTGGCTTCGCAGTGGCCGAATCCGGGTGATCTGAACTCGTCTCTTGGTGAGAGAAGATGCAAGTCAACAGAGTGCAGCCGCTACCCTGCGGGCATGGAATAGCCTTGAACAGGCCGAGTGGGGTGAACATGACGCTCAAGTGGCCCAGCAGTGAGAGAAGGATGAGGCGTGATATTATCGAATAAGAACAGTTAGGTAATAGGAAATGGTTAGGGCTGGGAGGCGAATCTCTGATTTGTCTGTTCGCGGGCTCCACTGAGTGGCAGCCGTCCGTGATAGTTTATCCGCGCTTGCTGAATCCACTGCAGGAATAATAAAATAACACCAACGATGTCGTTGGCGCGGCAAGCGCAGGATAGCGTAGGCTTTGCGACACTGCCTTTTGCTTGGTTTTCCCTTCTCTTGTCTGGTTTTTCCAGTCTTTTTCTTGCTTTTCCGTGTGCCGTGCGCCTAGAAAATGGTTCGCCTCGGTACCAGAATGCCGGCATTCACGCTTATCAGCGGATTGAGTTTTGGGTAGATAAGGCACCCAAGAGGGAGGGGAAGGTGATGAAAGCCGCGTCGCACGAGGTCTGTGTGTTCCCTGTACGGGGTGACACGCACAAGACACCCTTCCCTGAGGGGCAGGTAGCGGGCTGGCCCACGCCCACGATCGTTCAAAGATATAAAGAGGATCTTCGCCACCCCAAATCTTTCTTCATGAATTTTTCTCCCAACCTCTTTGGCCCCGCGAGTTGAGTTCTCAGGCTTCCCGGTGCTGTGATTGGCTGCCAACGACGACCGGCATCCCGTTGCCTCTTGTGACACTCTCCCGAGCCGGGCGGAAGGCTCAGAGTGTAGAGAAAAAGCCCGTTGATAGCTAGTAGAAGGGCTCGAGATCGGGTCTCGAGAGCTGCACTGGAAGGAAGAAACAAGAGAGCCCTTTTGCCTCTGCCACCGGTTCCCCTCTGTGTCTTCTTTTCCCGTTGTGGCGGCGGTTCTTTTCAGCGCGAGTGCCGGCGGGCCACTTGCCGCGCCAAGACTTTGACACGCCAAGACTCCCGTGATCGTCAGGGCGGTGCAAACAAGATAAACGCCCGATAAGATCCACGTAGGCTGCTGCGTGTGCACGCGGCACCTGATTGGGCGATAGTCCTGCATACGTTACTTTATTTATACCGTTATCGACGGGCCCAGGGGCCCGCAGGCATCTCCCACCACGGCGCTCCCTTTCGCTTTTTCGAGCTTTACCAAAAGCTCGATCTTTTTCAAAATCATGGACCCCGACATTGGTCCGCCGGCTGACCGCCAGCCCCGGGCGGATCATCTTTGCGTGCTCGTGCATGGGTATGTGTCAACGCTGGTGTGGTCACGCCCGCTGTGCAGTGGTGACTACGGCTAACCATTCTGTTTTCCAGTCTTTGGGGAAATCCATCGCATCTGGACTATGTGGCATCTGCACTCCGGGAGAGGTATGGCGAGGATCGCCTGTACATCCTCGCAGCCCAGCGGAACGCGGGAAGTTTCACGTATGATGGGATCGAACTCGGTGGTGAGCGGCTGGCGTACGAGATCGAGGAGACGCTCGAAAAACTCGCAGCTCGCGGTTATCAAATCAAGAAGTTGAGTATGGTCGGCTATTCCTTGGGAGGATTGGTTGCCAGATACGCGTTGGGCCTCCTCCATGCCAGGGGATGGTTGGACAAACTTGAGCCGGTCACGTTTACCACGTTTGCGTCCCCCCACGTCGGAGTGAGATCGCCGATCAAGGGATTTCCAAACCACATCTGGAACGTTCTTGGTGCCCGTACACTGTCAATGTCCGGGCGGCAGCTATTTATGATCGATAAGTTCAGAGACACGGGAAAGCCATTGCTGAGCGTGTTGGCAGATCCCGACAGCATCTTCATCCGAGCCTTGGCCAAGTTCAAGAACCGGTGCCTCTATGCGAACATTGTCAATGATCGCTCAACGGTGTTCTACACCACGGGAATATCCAAGGTTGATCCTTTCACGGACCCCGAAAATACCAATTTCAACTACGTCAAAGGATACGAACCTGTCGTCATTGATCGCGATAGGTATATCATTCCCCCAGAAGAGGCGAAAGAAAAACCTTCCACCTTTACGAATGCTGGCCACAAATTCTTCAAGTTCGTGGCCAATCTTCCTTTGACTATCTTCCTCTTCATCTTCGTCCCAATCGGCACCACGCTTTTCCTTCTCAACTCGGTAGTGCAGAACTTCCTCAGCCGACAGAGGATCAGGCTGCACGAAGAAGGCAAGACGGGTGTACTCTTTAGCAATTACAGGGTACCCCTCATCGTGCAGGACGTCCGCGGTGCGGTGGAGGATGCCTTTGAGAACGTCAATGGGTCGCAGGATCCAGGATATCTCTCCGATGCCAGTGGTGAATCTGCCGATAAGACGAGGAGGCGAAAGTCCTCTTCTTCCGAAGAAAAGTCAGCTGAGGATGAAAGCACGCCCCTTCTTCAGCAGACGGAGACTCAGGAAGCCCACGACGTAGAGAATGACCATTCCAAATCAGCCCAAGCCGACACTTCGACGTCAGAATTGCCCCTTCTTGCCCTGACGCCCGCCCAGTTTGCCATCATAGACTCCCTCAACTCGGTCGGGTTCCACAAATACCCGGTGTACATCCACAAGCATCGACACAGCCATGCCGCCATCATCGTGCGGATGCCCAAGAAGGGGTTCGAAGAGGGTAAGATTGTGGTCAAACATTGGCTGGACCACGAGTTCCAGATATGACCAGTCGCCCAAATGATAGCTGTAGAGTTGATTGATATGCTGCTTGCTGTACGGAGTACCTAGGTATGGTATGTTGTGGAGGATCCTGCCTGGTGACACCCAGTCGACGTCCGGCCCAGTAACGTCGTAGAGAGAGGGAACTGCTTCCCCCTCTCCCAGCTGTCCCAGACTACTCTGGCCCTAACGCAACTCTCGCAGAATATCGTCTACAGGTGCGGTCGCCATCAAGTTACCGACTTGTCGGGATAGCAAGCAGAACACGCCAGGTATTGTACGTACTGTATATACTACTACATACAGGCCTGGCCATACCCCCTGCTCGCCCACAGCAGTCCCTATAGATAGACGTTTGACTTTTTTTTTAAAGTCGAAGTAAAGAAACTGGTCTTTTTTTTTTGGCTTGAATCAATCTCCTCGTTTTAATAAAATCTGAGCGCCTCAATTTCTGTAATGCCTTGCTTGCAAGCCCTTTCGTATACAAGATACTGGTATCAAAACATAATGTATATAGACTCTCAAGTCAGCAGTTTGTGGCGGTGGGTCCAAGTCAAGTCCGGGGACAGATATGATAGTAAATAGAGATCCATGGATAGATAAACTGAATTAATTAATTAATTACAGCTTCCCCATCCTTCTTTTACCAGTCCCTGTATCACTATTTGCACCAGCACTACCACTATCATTATTAGTATTATTATTACTCGCTCCACCTGCATCCTCCAACTCCACCAATAACACCCCCTCGGCAACATCCTCGCCCTCTTCCTCGTTATCCACTTCCAGCGCCCATTTCACCCTCCCCGCCCGGGGACTGCGCACCTCCAGCTCCATCTTCATCTGCTTCACGAACGCGATGACCTCGTTCTCGGCGATCTCGTCCCCCTCGGAGACGAGGACCTCGATCAGTTTGCCCGACAACGGGAGAAGGATGTGGTCGGGGTTTGTCGGGTCGCCGCGGCGATGGGAGGCGGATGTCAGGGCTGAAGCTGACGTGTTGGTTTCTGTAACGTGCAGTCTGTAGGCTGTCGTTCCGGGTTTACCACCGGTGAATGATGATGGGAGGGTATACTCGATTTCGGCGGAGAAGGAGGATGGGAATTCGTTGCGGAGGACGCGCCGAAGGAGCAGGTGGTGGGGGAGATTCTGCTGTGTCTTCTGCAGGGAAGAAGATTGACTGTCTTGGGAAAGTGGTTCGAGCGTGATGGACCAGGCGTCCCCTTTGCGAAACAAGACAGTCGAGGATGGAGCAGATGCGGATGACGCTGCTGACGAGACTGCTGCACCTGTGACGGGCGTGATGGCAGACTCTTGCTGTCCTGCGGCATGTGATAGAGCTCGACCTGTGCGAACAAGAGACTCGAGATGACCCTCCAGCCACTGCGTATCGGTCCTGCACGCAAGGAAATCCTCATGGTCGACGATCCCTCGAAGGAGGTCGATGTTGGTCTTTACTCCGGATATCCTCGTATCACTCAGGGCTCGTCGGGCCTTGCTGACAGCGGCCTCCCAGCTTGCCGCCGTCACAATGATCTTGGCCATGAGGTTGTCAAAGTCTGATCCGACGATGACGGGAGACGACGGCGAGATGTTGGTGTCGACCCGGACGCCGTTCCCCGTGGGGACGATGAATTCTGTCACCTTGCCGATGCTCAGAGCGAAATTTGCGCCTGGATCTTCAGCACACAGTCTCAATTGGATGGAGTAGCTATGTGGCGGCTGGATCGCGTCTTCCAACCCCAGCTGCTGCAGAGAATAGCCCTGGGCCAGCAGGAGCTGTGTCTGCACCAGGTCCACACCGGTGATACACTCTGTCACTGTATGCTCGACCTGGAGGCGTGGGTTGATTTCCAAGAAGTAAAACTCTTGCTGGTGCTCGTTGACGAGAAACTCAAAGGTTCCGAGAGAAAGATATCGGGACTGGAATCTCGTCAGTTCGTTTCATTTCTCGTCCTTCCCGATCGTACACAGACTGCAAACCAGAAGCCTCACCTCACTGGCCATTCTGAGCGCAGAGTCAATGACTTTCTCGATCAACCTTCCGTCACCAATACCTGCAGGCGCACACTCGACAATCTTCTGAAACCTTCGCTGCACGCTGCAATCCCTCTCCCAGAGGTGTCTCACCCGGCCACTACCATCACCAACGACCTGCACCTCGACATGATGGAAACCGCGGACGGCAGCCTTCTCGACGAAGACAGTCTGCGACGGCGACTCCCCCTTGGCACGGTCGACGGCATTCTGCAGGTCGGATTCCTGTCGAACCAGCCGGATGCCCCTGCCACCTCCGCCATCGACAGCCTTGATCATGACGGGATATCCCACCTGCCTGGCAAATCCGCGGATTTGACCGATGTCGCCGGTCGGGTCCTTCAGGGCCGGCAGGACGGGCACGCCGCAGCGCACAGCGAGCGCTTTCGCCTGCAGCTTATCGCCCATCTGCTCCAGAGCCTCCCATCCGGGACCGATGACCACCACGCCAGCCTCCTCCCACATGCGGCGAGCGAATTCGGCGCTTTCGCTCAGGAACCCGTATCCCGGGTGGACTGCATCGATGGCATGTTCACGCGCCAATTGGACAAGGAAGGGGATATCCACGTACGATGCATGTGAGGGGAGAAGAAGGGCATGCCGTGGCCGGCCCAGATCACAGTGGGAGCGATCATTTTCCGTGTAGAGCGCGAATGTCTCGACGGGGGTGGGCAATTCGCGGGCGGCGTGGAGGATACGAACGGCGATTTCGCCCCTGGAAAACTCAATCCAAGTTTGATGTCAGTCAGCCTTGTCTTATCACTCTATCGGTCACAATTACAAAATAAAAGAATGGTGGAGAGTCAGACCTATTTGCGACAAGAAGCCGCTTGATGGGCCGCGCTGGAGGCGGCATGACAGTAGTAATTACTGAATATGTAAACCTGTGATATTTCTACAAAGACACAGAAGGAAACTTGTCCAAGCAATGTCTATAGATCGTATATGCAGGAACTAAGATAATATCTGTACACATCGTATAAATTGTCGGGGATCTTGTCGGCATCCGGGGTTATTTAGTGCCTCTTCTTCCCCGCATGAGACGACCGAGGTTCTCTCCACCTGTGTGGAATTATACATAACCTTTTAAAACTCTTCTTATTTCCACCCCCCCCCCTCCCTGAAACTCATAAATTTATAAGCATTGTTTTAACAGAATCGTCATTATTTCTGAATCCATCAATCAATTGCGAAGCATTGAAGACTATACGTATGTACTGTGCAATATTCTGGACCGGAGCTATCCCGAAGCCTGGCGTTTAGTTTTGCGGGAAAGACCTAACGAGCGGAGCTACTCCGTATAAATCGCCGCAGGACGACATATCTCTGCCTCATATCAGAGTACAGGAGGGGGCGCGTATCGATTAATACCATCCATCATGGAAAAGGATAAGGAGACAAACCCCGACTTATTAAGGAAGAAGGCTGCAGAGCGGCTGGACCAGCTCTCCGCACACGTCTCCGATAATAATAATAACTCTACCGAGAACACCACACCTCAGACTCAACCAGCGCAGGCGAACCGGAAACGAAAGAAACGAACTTCTAAATCCTCTTCCTCATCGAACCTTCCGGCAGACTACTCCGATGTCCTCTCCCAACTGTCCACACTGCGCACCATTGCCGCGACTCCAGACCCAACAAACCGAGGCTACATCCGCCAGAAACAGGCCGGGAAGCTATGGGTCCGCGAACGCATCGAGCAGCTGCTCGACCCGGGCACATTTAAGGAGATAGGGTCCGTGTCGGGAACAGTGACGTGGAAACAGACGGGTCCCATAACTGAAACCCCTGTGGCTTTCGTCCCAAGTAACAACATCCAGGGCACTGGCAAGGTTCGGGGCCGACAGGTGCTGCTTACCGCCGATGATTTCACCATCCGGAGTGGCCATGCCGACGGCGCAACGATGGAGAAAACTGTGTACCTGGAAAAACTGGCGATCGCGCTGAAACTGCCTATGATCAAGCTGGTCGATGGCAGCTCCGGTGGAGGCAGTGTCACGCTGATCCGAAAGGCCGGATGGAGCTATATCCCGCATATCGCGCAGTTCAAGCATGTAGTAAAGCAGCTGAACATGGGGATTCCAAACCTCGGCGCTGTGCTTGGGCCTGCGGTATGAAACGGATACCCTACTTTAACACTCCCACTTAGAATAACCTCTGTCCAAAAGAAGATACAAATGCTGACCATGTCTGTAATCATTTTCAGATCGGACTTGGCGCAGCACGAGTTACTGCGTGCCACTTCTCCGTGATGGCGGCCGATGTAGGCTCCTTATTCAACGCTGGTCCAAAGGTCGTCGAGGGGGCTACCTTCGAAGAGGGACTGGACTTCCAGGACCTTGGCGGGCCCATAATGCACTGTACCAACGGAACAATCGACAACCTCGCCGCCAACGAGGCCGAATGCTTCGAACAAATACGAACGGTGTTGAGTTACCTCCCCAACTCCGGCAGCGAGGCGCCCCCGGTCATTCCCTGCGACGACCCCGAAGACCGGGAGGATTTGGGTCTGCGGACTATCATTCCCCGCCGGCAAGCACGGATGTACAATCCCCGAACCATAATCACCTCCGTCGTCGACAAAGGTTCATGGTTCGAGATTGGTGCTCTTTGGGGCAAGACCGCAATCGGCGGGTTGGCTCGTCTGGGAGGCCGGCCCGTGGGTGTGATCTCGTTGAACTGCGAAGTCAATGGCGGCGCCCTGGATGCGGCCGGAAGCCAAAAGTTGACGCGGCTGCTGAAGTTGTGCGATGTGATGAATTTGCCCGTGTTGCAGTTTGTTGACGTCCGTAAGTGAGCCCCTTTCCCTTGTATTCCTTTTTCATTGTACCTGCTTGACACTAATGAAATCGTCTTTTAAAAGCCGGATATGCCGTCGGTACCGTTGCAGAACGAACCGCCACGATGCGCTGGGGCATCGAACTGGCCAAAGCCTATTTCTCCACGACCATACCCATCTTCAGCGTCATCACACGACGCGTCTTCGGCGTCGCGGGGGGTGTCATGCTGGGGGCGCGGGATCCCGTCATGCAAGTGGCCTGGCCGTCAGGACAGTGGGGGTCGCTGCCGCTTGATGGCGGCATCGAAGTCGGGCACCGACACGAGCTGCGCGAAGCGGAAAAACGAGGGGGCAAGGATGAGAAGGAGAAGCTGTACAAGGAGCTGGAGGAGGAATACATGCGGCTGATGAACCCGGTCCGCACGGCCAACGCCTTTGGCGTCGAGGAGATCATCGACCCGAAGGACACCCGGGCAGTGTGCTGCGCCTGGGCGAAACACATGTACGAGGTCAACATGAAAGACCGATTGGCAGATCGAGCATCTGGGAAGATCCAGCCGACATTCTCTTGAAAATAAAAGCTTGTCGAATCGAAAAATCAATAATGGAAACCAAATAAAATCGAACCATGGCCATGCCCAGTATATCTCTCTCTCTGGTCCCTATATATCCATATAATAGATATAGTACGACACAACTTTATAAGAAGTGCTCATGGATACCGAGGAAAAGAAGATTGATGGCAGGAAATAGAAATGGTTCTATTGATTCGTGAAATTTCCGATGGAACAACCCTGGCAAACCACGAGATTCGTAAAACATACATGCAGGCGGAAGGCGTAGCACATTGAATCCTTCTTTCTACAAACACAGACAACATAAAAGTCTATAGTCTTAAGTCTATCATCGTCATCATCAGTGAGATGGGAAGGAACACAAACATAAACAAAAGTTACTGGGGTGTGCGCTCTCATTCAGAACGGAGGACAGACATGGTTGAAGACAGATCGAAGGTGATGTGACGAGATGCAGACATAAAACGGGACGATCAACGCCCTCAGAAAATAACAGGAGAAGCAGCATCTTCCTGGCTCTATGCCGGCGGCGACGGGAAATGGGATATCTCGGGAAAGATAGAAGAGGTCACAACAACAAAGAAATAGATGAGAGAGAATCTAGAACTGGAGGAAATCAACACTGCAAGATGAGGTCAAAAGGTGCGGACAAAGGTTCGTCGATGACAGAGGTATGATAGATAGGACGTTGTTGAGAAAGAAAAGAGCATGGAGATGTCGTGCGACAGCACAACGAGGGCATCACTCCAGCACAGCAGACTCGTCTCCATTGGTGGCGGCATCTCCCACCGTGCGCTCCTTGACCTCTTTGGCAAACTCGCGCTGCATAGCCCACTTGACCGCTTCCAAGACGTTGTCACAGATTTTCTTGGGCGGGTAACGAGGGATCGTGCCCTCCTGGAAGACACCCGTCTTCACGAGTATCGAAAACCAATTAGCGTTGCCACTGCTCTCAGACTCATTGAATTCGTTGGTGCCGCGAATATCGGACTCTGGCGTATCGCCAACAAAGTACACGGTATCCGGGGCCCGGTCGATGCCGTAGTTGTCTTTGCGCCACTGACGGAGCAGTCGAGTCGCAAACTGGAATGTCCCCAGCTGGGGCTTGCCGAAGGCAATCGTCGTCAGCTCCTTACCCGTGACGGCCTTGAAGAGCGCCTCGAGCGAGGCTCGAAGCGCGCCCATTCCGATCCGGCTGTGCTGGTGCGATGTAGACCAGACGATGTCGTTGTGCGAGAAGTAGACGGGAGGGCCCTCGTCGAAAGTCTCTGAGCGGGTGCCGATCCGCCCATTCTTGGACATGAGAACGTCGAGGATGATTTGCTGGTCACCCGCCCAGTCCCGGCTGTCAGCGAAGACGAAGACAGCCTCGATATTGATCTTGCTGAAGTCCCGATCGCGCGAGTTGCGATACTCCTCCTCCGTCAGCTTGCGGAAAGGAGTGGTGTCCTTATTCGCCTTGATGATGTCTCCCGGCGTGACGACATCCTTGAAGCCGTAGCTTTCCGCGACGATGCGGCACTTCTCACCCTCGCCACCGACGACGAGGACGGTGTTGTATTTCTCGGCCATTTCTCGCATGGGCGTGTGTCCGCAGATGAACTGTCCCGGGGAGACTTCCAGCTCCAGTTGACGGCTGAGGTCGAGACAGCGCTCCTCTTCCGTCTTTCCACCGCCATTGGTGACGAAAATATATGGTCTAAAAAAAAAAAACAACAGGTTAGTACAGGTCCCAGTTCGTTGCCAAACCCACATCCACCAATCCACGGTTCCTTACACTTTGATTCCGAACTGGTTGTCGCCGTTCAGCACCTTCATGGCTTCGATCGCCTCGGGGATGGCTTGGCCCCCACGAATGAGGACGCCATCGATATCAAACGCGAAGGCATACTTATCCGTGACGGTGGTGGTGGTCCTGCCGCTGACAGGTCTGATGACCGGTGAACCAGTCCGAGGGCTCGCCTCTTCAGATGAGGGCGACTCATCAAGATGGACTTTGGCCATTTCAAGGGACTGGGCCGTCTCGAAGGCATGGCTGGCGGCCATCAGATGCTTGGGAGGAACGACAACCGTCGGACCGCTGTAGAGATCCGCCCGGGAGGCGTCCATACTCGAGAGCCGGCGAGTCCGTTGTTGGGACTCGTCACCGGCGACGAGGTTGTCTGTCGTAGCCATGGTATTGAGGATCAGAATTAAAAAAGGTCAGTTTCTGTATCGTAAGTAAGAGGAGCAAAATCCCACAAAAGGACGACCAAGCAAGCGCCCGATGGTCAGTCCTGGGAGAATGGAAAGAATCCACTCTTTCCGATATGAATTCTCAAATTCTTCACACTGTGGGCTTGGGGAAGATCGAACCAGCGTCTTCAACGGGTGGGGGGGGGGGGGGGGGGAAGGACAGGGCACTCGTTATATATCTTTGCCAACAGCCCCAGGAACACCGCTGGATCCATGGACCAGCCGTTCCCATCCGGGCGTTTGTTATCTGGGCGAAGCGTTGCAGACCGATTGACATCCATCTCAGACGCGGCGTCCTGCCAGGACCCAGATTGCCAATAATGAGATAGATCCTCAACTGAAATCCACCGTCCGCTTCAGGCTCCACCTCGTGGGTCGTAGTGCTCCTCTTGTTGCGTGGAGAGTGGATCTTCCAAAAGTGATAGCGTCAATGAACCCAGCACAACGTCCACCCAATGCGTCTCCTGCGGCGGACCGTCTCTGCGACCGCCGCTGGTCTTGCAGATTCGCAATCCGACATCAATATCATAGCGGGACAAGGGGGGTTCAGCGGTAAAAGCTGCCACAGATAGAGAAAGAAAAAAAGAAGAAGAAGAAAAGAGTGGATCATCGGGTGGAGGAAGCTTTGCAAATGAGTACCAACGAGACGTCTAGGCCTGCGCAGCATGGGCGGCGGGATCGGGCGATACTTGGTAGCGGGTGGGCTTAACCATGACAGCGGCTGGAGTTCGGTGAGCATTCTCAAGCTAGCGTGCTCCATACATATAAGAATAAGCTCGCAACACGCAAAATTCTGCGCGGAGGGAAAATGATTTCCGGTGAGGCTGACAAAAGTTAAAACGTGAAAGTCGACGCTGCAGTGACGGTCCAAGCGGTTCCTGAGCCGGGCGCTATCAGAACGTCCCAGCCTGGTTCCCGATAAGGCTGGGAATCATCGCCTATCGTAGCGCATCGTGATCGACGCTCGGCCAGCCTTGTTGCCTTTGAACTCACGGACGGCTGCAGGCGTCTGTTCGTGTCTCGTCATTGCGCCACTGGAGCAGCTAATTTGCAGGGCCCGTGAGCTGCACGTCAATGGAGGCCCAAGAAAGTCTGCTTGGATTCTCGAGACGGCGTCCCCATGTGGCGTTGCTCACGGGGAGCTGATCGCCAGGCTTGAAAGGGGCAGCCGGCGTGGTTGGTGCCTTCCCTCGTCGGAGTCCCTTACGGAGTACTTGCCTCTGCCGGCAAGGGGGCCTTGACGTCATCTCCGGTGGTTTTCGGGCAGGAGCCTGGGGCATTCAGGTGTCTTCCCCGGCTGAGATCGCTGCTGAGAGCGATCATGGCGCCTCCGCATTTCCCTTGCTGTTACCAGACGCGCCAGTGTCGTCCTCCAAGCCTCAAACAGGAAACTGTCATTCGTCAGTTTGGAGGTACCCGTCCCAGCTCTCGACAGCCACACACCGCTGCACGAGCAGGCCGTACCTGTCAGCCACAGACCCTCCTGGCGCCCTAGTCTGTTTGGCAGTATCCACAGCGAGTCAGAGGTTGCCCAAGTAGGAACAGGACAGATTGATAAACTCGGCATCATTTTCTGTCTGCACTGCGCGATGAATTAGCAATAATTAATGAAACATTAGTCCAGATAACAATGCCAGCTAGGCAGAAAGCTACCTAGGTATGGTTCCGAGATTTTTAGTATAGGTACCGCCATGACGATCTTCTGTCGACCGCATAATAATCGATTGGCAAGAATAATGCACTCATCCACATCTGGCATGTGGTTGTCCACTGATTGACACCTCTTCCTGCCTGCAAAAGCCGGCTGCTTGCCTGATCCAGGGTGACAGTGGCATATTTTGATACCGCAAGTTGGAGAAAAAGAAGACCCCTGTTTCTGATTTTCGACTGATCTATATCACATGTCTCTCTATCCTGGACCCTTTACTGTCATGTCTGCCTACCAGGTCTCTTTTTCGTATCTCCGACCTAAAATTGCGGTATTTACAGACAGTGAGGGTTTTCTTGATTGGCTACACCGTGTGGTTATAGTTCTCCACAGTCGAGCTTCTGCGTCTGGCTAGTTGCATGCAAAGCTGACTCATAGCTACTCCTTAGAGCCAGTCATTATCTCCATGGATAACGAGGATGAAAGCAGTGATTCTGATAATATTCTGAATCCATGTCTACTTGGCCACGATAAAATCACGTGAATCATGAATTTTCATGAGTATGTTCCTCAGCACTGAGAAGAAATTTTTTTTTAAAAAAAAGGTGAGTTGTACTCCATCGAGCTCATATTTTGATCAACAATGACAAGCCAATGGAATAATAGAATAAGTGGCACAGGCCATGCAACATGCAGCACAAGTTACACAACACTAGCAGACACAATTCAAACCCTCCCATTTTGCATCCTGAACTTGGCTTCGAAAAGTCCTTGGCTGGTTGATGAATGTAGCTTGCTTATCGAACTAGCCAGCATCCATCATGATAGTATTATTGTATAGCAAGGAGTGCAACATCAGAGTAGACATGTGTTTAGTCTGTCAGAATGGCCACCTTTTAAATACAACCAGGAAAAAAGAACACATCAGCCCTACAGCCACAGGCCAGCCACTGACGTATGCTATTCTCTCCATGCAGACACAATTAAAGAAATTATGCAGTGAATAACAGTAAACAGTTGGTTCCTAAGGTATCTATTAATGAACTACATGTACTGTACAGTACATACATACTTATGTACTCCGGAGTAGTTGCTATTGTTCTACCGATCAATAGCAGTCAAATATCTCCTTCCTGCGTGGAGATAGGATAACCGAAAAAAAAACTCAACCACTATTTCCCCCATAACCTTTGCAAAATGTAATTCTAATGTGAAAACAGTATTATTCATTATTCTAGAAGAGGATTTTGTATGAAGAACGTTATTAGTCTTTCCCATCATTAGTTTTCCCCGGATATGATAAAGCATGTCATCTAGTTAGCTCGCTAACTGAAGAGGAAGCAGTCAATCAAACGCTTCCTGGAGTTGCATTGTAAGACAAAAAAAAAAAAGACACCACTCACCATTTTAATTAATTAATCAGACTTCCACATCCATTGTTGCCTTGTCTTGGCCAGGTAGAAAGTCTCGAGCAATTAGAAGTTGAAATTCTCAAGAAGCAAGATCTCTCTCAGAGTCTCAGTGGTGTCAGCCAAGATTAAGTGATCTCGGTTCGGGAGGTACCTACCGGCATGGCTTTCCTACCTAGGAAGGTACGGCTAGATCCATGGATGAATTTCTAGAAGCCTCACCCGGAGAAAACAAACCGTGGATACCTACGATATAAGACCTCAATGAATGAAGCACCCCCACAAGATCGAACTCCCCCGCATGCCTCCACAGCCAAACGGAGACCACTCCGCATCATCCGGACGTCCATGCAATGGTGCCTCAGGATCCGTCCTACAGACTATCCCCGTGTAGCTGAGGGACTGATGATGGATTGATGGAATTGGAATGGGGAGGGAGCGAGGGCTGAAAGCTTTTAATTTGAACGGAGGCATTTCGCTCATCTCCGGCGTGTGATGTAGGTATACTAGGTAATCGAGTAAGAGATACAATTCGATTGAGCTTGTGAGAAAACAAATCGAAATTGTGCTTTGTCTTTATATAGCTGACTATGATACAGCTGGTCAATAGATACATGGCTTATGTTAGTGACAGTACAGCAAGTACATGCATACGTATGGACATCGCATAGAACACATGCCTGAAAAGCGATGCGCGTCGTATCAATGCAATCAATCACGATAATATCTCGAGAATCTTGGATGATAGGTGACAAAAAAAGGACCAGTCTAGTATAATGAGAAATAAAGACAGACGGTCGTGTATATCCTGTGTAATAGGAAAGAAGGCATAGATGTGCACGAAGAAAAAGTATGCATGTATAGACAGGGGTATCGTAAGAAAAAAAAGGGGGGGAAATCGACTATGTGTAGGGGAAAAGAAAATGGACTGTGCATAATGCTGAAAACTTCCATCGGTCAAAACTCGGATCCAGTCGCCAGGACTAAATGCCTCGGAACAGTTTCTGTAACACAGCCTGCGTGTTACAGTCAATCCACGCTGAGAAAGAGGTCTGCACCTCTTCTCGACGGTGTGATATTGTGCTCTCGAGGTGACTCCGGTTGTCCTCGATTGGGAGGGGTCCTGGACATATCTGTGTTGACCCCTCGCTTTTGATGCCTTCCCTCATCGGTGTTAACGACTTCTTTGACGACCCTCCATTTCGGCCGTCTTCCCTCATAGTTGGCAGTGAGATCGCGCTGACTTCCATTTCTGAATTCGGTCTCCATCTTTTCTGCTATTGCATCCCCACGCCGTTTCGCCAGGAGACTGCTTGCAGGGCTACTAGAGCGCGATCGGGATGTCTCGCTCAAGAAAATAGGGATTTGGTTAATCCCTTGCTCTGATGGGCGGCCTCGAGAAGCTGCCGCAGTAGCCTCGTTGCCACCCCGCATCGGCGGATTCATCCTCTCATGGAGTTTCGCCGCTCTAGGGACCGGTATGACCTCCGCATCCCTACTGACAGAGGCGGAACGCGGCATTTTGGGATACTTTACCGGCGAATTTCCAGTCGGATACAGCAATGACAATCCAGTCACTTGAGTCGCGTCCAAAGGAGCCGAATTCTCTCTGACTGGACTCAGTGGCTTTGCGGGCGGAAGATTCCAGTCAGGCGTTCCATCGTCATCTTCGGTGTCAATGCTTTCAAAGCTGGTATCCGAACACTCGGAATTGCGACTATTCGAACGCCGATTCAAAGACGAGCGACGCCCTCCAAGACGAGACAGCCCTCGTCCGAAACTTCGTCGGTTTCTGTCATTCAGGGGCCAGTCTGTGTCGCCGCGCGATGGTCCATGATGACGACCTCCATTGGCGTCGGATGACTTGTTCTGCTGTACAGGCAACTGAACCATTTGGCCTCCTGGATGCGGTTTTTGATTTTGTGTCCTTTCAGCCGCATATATCAATGCACGAGGATCTGACGGAAGTCCTGGATACGGCCTGCCGTTACCTTTTCGCGGAAATTGTTGACCTGTCAGTTTATCTGCTCTTGTGGGCTGGTTCCGCGCTACTTCGAGCAGGGGACCGAAAATGCTTCTTCGTCGCCCACTATCTTCTTCGAAGGCTGTTCCTCCACTCGTTGGCCGTACGCCTTGACGACTTAGGCGCAGCGGCTCCGGATAGAGTGCATAATCGGGCTTATCAGGAAGTAGCTGGGACAGCGTGCGCTGCGATGACTGGCTTTCTGGAGAACCGCCACGCTCCGTTTCCGGGGTTATGGCGATTCCAATTGCTTCACCTGTTGGCGCGGGACCAGCGGCCTGTTTTGTGACAGTAATCAACGGACCGCCACGAGTCACCGGCTCTAATGGAAAATTGTGAAAAGTCGGCTTGACTGTGTTTTCGCCCGCGTTCTGTCCAGGATTTGGTGGCGGGTTCCGTGGAGTCGATGGAGCAAAATCAGGAGGCTCAGCCATGCTACCCCCTATCTCAAAAGTCTCACTCTTCCCGCGCCTTATTTTCCTTACACAGAAGTAAAAGAAGACACCTGCCAGAAATAGAGCCGAGATCCCGGTAGAAACAGATACTCCAACGACGGCCGGCGTGCTCAGGGAAGAGGCTGATTGCGTGGCTGATGGTGACGGGGAGGAATGGGCTGATTGAGAGGCACTGCTCTTTATTGAAGTAGTCCATGACGTTGATGGAGACGATTGGGAGGTGGTAACAGGGCGCGTACTGGACGGACTGGTAACGAGCGTAGTTTTGGAAGCTGAAGGCGTCGAATACGCTGTGTTCGAAGTTGACGTCTGCGTACTGCTTGCTGGGATGAACGTAGATGTCGTTTGCAGGATTGTCGCAGTAATCGTTGGATGTGTTTCGGGAAGGGCCCCAGATACGGAGTTGCAAATTTCATAGACGTTGGAACTCGACACAACGTCCAAGGAGCAGAACGATATAGTACAACTCAGAGTTGCTTCACCGAGAGTGAGGCCACTTGTGGTATTCGTCCGGCAAAGACAATCAATGTCTCCTAGACCACTGCATGAATTGGATGGGTATTCTGAGGTTACGAACTTCTCCACACAGGGCTGAGCGCAAGACGGTATGCCACGAATTGGAGATTGGCCATCCGAACTGCATACTGCAGTTGATATATTGGAAAGGCAGATAACGGCTGAAGTAAAGATGGCAGCGTTGATAAACCTGTGAATGTGGAGAGGACGCATAGTGTGATATCTCTACAAGAAACCATGGTCAACTATATCAGACTTGTTATCTTTCACTGACAGATGAGGTCTTCAAGTAGAGGAACATCATCGTGGACAAGGAGATGCCTTACCCTGTTTACCAGGAGACAAAAGGATAGATGACTATCCGAAGTGGCCTGGAAGTTTGCAACAAGTCATAGTAGTACAGTCTCGAATGGACAAATGGTCTTAATACAACAGCTTTTCAAAACCAAAATCATCGAGAACAGTAAAAAGAAAAACAACAAAAATTTCTAGGACATATAGAACAAAATAAAAGGAAAGGAAAGACATAAAAGCAAGTTTCAGGAGAAAAGCAGGTAGAAAATGAAACTGAAGTCGATGTGCTCGACTTCTCTCGAAACCAGCGCCATCGCCATATCCTATAATATAGCCCCCAGGACTGATACTTTATGCGCCAGGGGCTTTTAAACCGTGACAGAAAGCCACCTTCCCTGTAGGCGCCTGATGAAACTGGATGAACATCGTCCAGCGATGACATCCAAAGAGAGGCGTCTCTTCGTGCCTGGGAATGGCTGCAGATCGGTTGGTCCTGACGAAGAGGGAGAGTTTAGATACGCGCCGGGCCGGCGCTACGCCTGCCTCGAATCGAGAGCGCTGGCTGGTCGATGCCCAGCCACGGCGTCGAGTCAGGTGACCATGAAACTGAGGGAAGATTTCGATCAATGAGATCGCTTGATCTACTCTGCTTGGCTATTTGCACCGCCTCAGTCTGGATTCAGGAAACACCTTGGGATAGCAAAACTCGTAGTGGTGCTAGCGCATGTCTGATAATGGTTTTCTGGCTACCTACTCCACTCCGGAGCAGTAGCTTCAAGGCGCTAGAAAGACCCCTGCGCGCTAATACTTCCTAGCCAACAATGACGAAATCAAGTAGGAATTGCGAATTATGGACTTTGATTCCTTCCTTCAATTTTTAGCAAAGAGTGATAACTAATAAATTTCTATGAAAACGATACAAAGGCTAGTGTCTAGGTACAGAGATCGAGTAAAAACAGACTCAATGATCCCATCCCGTGGTTCTAGTCGCGACCACTAGCACAGCGTGAATGAGCCGAAATAAGCCCAATTAACGCAGAACGAAGCTGGTATCATCATACAAAATCGTCAAAACCGTCAACTAGCGTGCAGGAAACAAATCATAGCAATTGCAACCGGAATTGGGCGTTTCAATCCCCGATGCCAAGGGCAAGAGAACTTTATTAGAGCTGGGCTAACCGAACCCGGTTAACAACGGAACGTGCTGACAAAGGATGGCTGAGCAGTGAGAGGTCATTATCACCGACGCATCCGCGACACCCCGCAGGCTGGCGTAAGGAAGGACATGGTATTTTCGATAAGGGATGGCGTTTGCCCTGGAACAGGGTCGTTTGTTTGGGGCGTCTAGTACTTGAGGATGATGTACCTATCCGATCAGTCAGCATCAAGATCATGCTCCACAGGGAATAGATCGACGCCGGATCCGGGCGGAATTTTGGAGGGAGACGCACAGAGCGTGGATGATACCCGGAATGTAACCCAGGATGGTCAAGCAAATGTTAATGAGCAAGTCGGCACCACATCCCCGCTCCAGGAAGACACCCAATGGAGGGAGGATGAAAGCAAGGATGATCTTGCAGATGTCGCTGTGAGAATCGAGAAAAGGTCAGCATGCCTGGAACTAGAGCTGGCGACACAAGCGACCGCAACCTCGATACTGGGGCCGAGGAGAATGGGCTGGGATCGGGGCCCAGAGCCGAGTTTAGCTGGCTGGAGGGGGCTACTCACGAAGCGGTGAAAGGCATGGTGGAGGGCGACCGGAGAACAGTCTATATAGCAGGAGGAACGCAATCAAAATGAGCTAGAGTCGAAAGAGACAGCAGAGAGAGATCGCTTCTGGGAAGTGGGAGTGGTAGCAAGAGTATATGTAGAAAAGGAAGAGCTGGGAGCTGGCGGAGAGAGCATTGCTTAAGTAGCAGCTAGCGGGACACCTCCAGCTGGTCCTGTGCGGGAACCACTGGTTGTCAGACGTCATCGAGAACTGCCACAATCTGTGGCGCTTGACGACTCCCCTCGTGCTGATTGGCCATCTCCGACTTTTGTACCTACAGGCAGTCGCTGATCCTCGCGCTCGGCATCCTTCACCTGCCTTGCGTAAACAAGACGTCTGCGGACTGGGCAGGAAGACACTGTCCAGCCACTGCTGCAGGGCGTCGCCGTCGCTACCCGACTCATGGCAGTCGGATGGGCCATGACCACCTGATACTGTGCCTAAAATTAATCAGATTATCTTGCTGCCTTCGCACTACTATTTTGATATCCTCGACTGTTTCCCACGTAATCTGTACTCTTTGTCACAACACAGTTTACAATTATATCATTTTAGGAATAGAATCCTACATAGTACCATTGGCTCAGAATCCTGGCCTACGGAGTAATTGGAAACCATGACCAAACAATACCTCATTCAAGGCTATCCAGCTTAGAGTCTACCACTTTCAGCCAGTCCCGTTGCCAATACACCGCCACAGGAAACGTCCCGCAGTCTTGGCGGGAGATTATCTGAGGAGAGCACCAATCGATCTCGAAGATCTCTCCAGCACAGAAGATAGCAGCCACAGCCTTGTCTGGAGGCATTCATCCACCCTCTCATTGCCATTGGCGCCAATGCCCCCATGCCCCCAATTCTCGGTTGCTTAGGGAGGGGCACCATCCCGCCGGGATGGCTTCGACAGCTGGCCGCTGGATCGAAGACTATTTCCAGCAATAACCTCTTCTCGACGCGATGGTTCAGCACCTCTCGGCAGCGGAGAGACTTTCAGGCAGCAAACGATGTTGCTGATGCACCCAGGGCAATATCTTGGCTCAGTCAGACACCACATAGAGTGGTAGGTGTTATGCACCACCGTCATCGTATTTCTGGGCTAACCGTGCGAACGAACCATTAAGACGCCGTCAGATATTATCTCACGATATCCTCTTCTCTCGCGCCCTTCCAGCACAGAAATCACCGTCCCCGTTGTTCTTGCTACGCCGGCGTTCGCATCATGGATTGATCCTACGAACCCTCTGCTCGAGAAGTGGGCGAGTCCGCTATTCGAAACTCTCCACGGAAACCAGCATCAGAAACCCTCCTATGCCATTGCAGCTGTGATAGACAAAATTCCAGTCCCGCAGAACCGAAGTGGGTACACAGAAAAGATTATTCGTGACAAGGGATCGGCATTACTCGGTTCGGAGGGACTGTCGCTGTTGCTCGCTCGTGGCTCAGATGTGCGTGTCAATGCGGCAGAGTCCACACGAGTACGAGGCCCAGCTTCCCAAGAACCTGCATTCATCTTTTCGACTCGATCCCTCAACGCCTCCTTGAACGATGATGACAGTGGCCGTGCATCTTACGAAGTTGGCCTCCGACTTGCCAACACGGTTTTTGTTAATGGCAAGGACAGAACATTATTGGGGATGCGCTGGGATTATGATCCTGCATCTGAAAGGTACAGTCTTAGCCAATGCTATGACCTGGCCATATGTGATGTCACGTCTTCGGCGGCTATGGCGCGCAGCTCCTTGAACATTCCGCTCCATCCCGTTACTCAACGCAGGAAGGTTGTATCTAGCATGGGGAACATCCTTAGCCAGCTATCGAAATCACTTGATGGGGACGTGAATGTTGCAATGCCAGCCTCGTCTGAACTTGAAAAAGAATTGCCCAGATATGTCAAAGAGCACGGCATCACAGATCAGAGGATATCAGCCTGGGCGCTTGTTGAGCCGTCCGAAACATCCTCCCGAATCGAGAGCACCACTGAAGGTCGCCTTGAGAGATTAATTCAAGACGGCAGTAGAATCCACCGTGTGGTCAGTGGAGGCGGAGGATGGGGAAAGAGGCAAGGTTTGCTTTCCCTTGATCCGGAGGTCACTTTCCGAGGAAAGGCTGCCTCCAAGCATGGGATTGCCATAGATCAATTTTTCGAAGGCCCAAATGGAAGCGCCCCTTCGGAGGCGCTACCCGATCTCTCAGAGATTCTAAGCGCGAGCTTAGAGAAGGATATCGCTTCACTTCCTCAGCTCGCCAAACCCGGTGATTACATCCAGTTCTTCGTCTCCTCTGAGTTGCATTCTCGGAAGGACGAAGTTACGAAAGGACAGACTTCCGAGTCAGCTCTTTTGTGTAACTTCGTTGTTGCTGCGTCGTCTGAGGCGTCCCAAATGATCCCTGGCTCTATAGATCCTGAAACTGAAAGGAGCTCGTCGAAAGATTTGGTTTTCCTGACCAATTATTTCGGAGCGCTATCAGAGAAGGCCATCACATATTCACAAGCTGTCTCAAATGTCCAATCCACCGGTGATGGTCTCGAACACCGCACAAAGCTTTGCGTGCCCGGTTCTCGTGTAGAACTGGAGGTACGATGATAAAAAGCCTATGCAATAGATGAAGCTTTATCCATCTTGCTCTAAATATGCTACTGGGCTGTAAGATCCAGCCCGATCTTGTACTACCAAATGTGTACATTATGTATGTACTTATCAACTGTATCTTATACATGTATGTGTATGCTAGCATGGATTTTTAGAGCCACTATTGTATAAATACCTCTAATGCAACGACTCAAGGCCCTGCCAAAATCAAAAGGTAAATATTCTCTTTTGAGATATTCTCCTGGCTATCGGGTGGTCGCAGATCGTCCGGTGCCAAGAGAAATCACGTGGCGGGCAGGTGAGCTCCTCGACCTGCACGAAACCTCCAGCCAGCCAACCATCACAGCAACGCATCCTCCCTGCCGACTCAGCAACTTTCCATCTTCCCCATCACCGGCGTATCTTGAGAGCCCGCGCTGGGGATTCTTTTTCTTAATTTAACAGACTTCCGATTTTTGATACCTGACCTGCCGTCGGTCGTTCCTAACCCTTCACAATGTCTTCGGATCTCTGGTAAGGTGTCCTCGGAGCCAGCGCTGACGTTGCTCCATGGCGGCCAGCTAATGCCGCCCTCCACTCTTCATTTGCTTTATCTGAGTGTAATAAGATGCTAACTTCTTGTCTATTATAGCCCTGTCTATGCGGTGAGTTGTGTCGCGCTTGTCCTGTCGGTCCATTGAGGACCTAGCTCCCGAATCGACAGCAACAATGCCTTCTTCGATTTCCCACACCCAGGCTTCCACCGAATCCTGTCAAACGCATAGCTGATCGACTATCTTAATAGCCCTTCTTCGGTGCCCTGGGCTGCACCTCTGCAATTGTTTTCACCTGCTTCGGTGCTGCCTATGGAACCGCCAAGGCCGGTGTTGGTGTCTGTGGAATGGCCGTTCTGCGGCCTGACCTGATTGTCAAGAGTACGTTCATAGCCTGACCATTTCAGTGGCACTTATTGCGATAGTCAGGGTTTCGTTGCTGACTTGTGTCTAGACATCGTTCCTATTGTCATGGCCGGTATCATTGGTATCTACGGTCTGGTGGTGTCGGTCCTCATTGCAAATGACCTGACCCAGCGTCTGCCGCTGTACACTGGATTTATTCAACTCGGAGCTGGTCTCGCCGTCGGTCTTGCTGGTATGGCTGCTGGGTAAGTTAATCTGTCTATCGATGTTGGACATGAATTATGGGAGATTGACTGGATCTTAGTTTTGCCATTGGTATCGTTGGAGATGCTGGTGTCCGTGGAACAGCTCAACAGCCCCGACTCTACGTCGGTATGATCCTGATTCTTATTTTCGCTGAAGTTTTGGGTAAGTCGGCCTGATCCGGTCCTAGTGAGTGATCTGACTGACGATTTCTTTTTCTCATTCAGGTCTGTACGGTCTCATTGTCGCGCTTTTGATGAACTCTCGTTCCCGTGCATCGTGCGTTTCTGTTGAGTAAACAATCCTGCGTCACGCGCCGGAAAGGGGAAAGCCAAGAAAGAGATCGCAGGTTGGTTATAGCCGGTCAAGCCTCCTTTTCCATCAGCGAATGGAAATATAAAATTTGATGATGCGGGATTTGCGAACGCCTTATTCATCACACCTTGCTGCTTACCTTAATTTTAACTCCGAACCGACAAGATAATGTGCAGGAGTTAGCTGGCTTGTTTTGTTGAGCCAATGAATGTTACTTAACGAGTCGACATGACAGTTGAAGCATACCATCATATTTCATCATATATTACCATATCTACTTTGTAGATGGACGGAGACAGTGTGAGAGCAATTTCATTGAGAGAAGATGTAGAGAAGCTAGCTAGCTCTGCTGTTTGTTATGTGCTAAGACAGGATCTGCAATTAATTGAGGTTGTTTTGTTTTGGTCTTGGTCTTGGTCTTTTGGTCCATGCCACCAAAAAAAGATAATACTGGACCAGGTTTTTTTGTTTCCCTAATAAATGTACAGCGTACTCGTTAGCACCATAGGTAGTAGTAGTAGTAGTAATCTTGTCTATTACACCATTTACTCCGGAGTATCTATCCACCTATATGCAGGCTGTACTGAAGTATGGTCCTGTGCTGTCCTCCTGCAATAATAATACCTCACTGCAGTTTCTTCCCACTGACCCACTCAGTGAGTCAGTCAGTGAGTCAATCAATCAATCAATCAATCAATCAATCAATCAATCAACTATTGTGGAATGAATCAATGGAGTTTATTTAGTTTGGGAAATCCTACCAGGAATAAAAAATAAGTAAAGCAAAATAAAATAGATTTCAGATTCTAGATCTGGATAGATTAGATTGTAATGTACAGTACAGTACATACAATACATACATAGATTGATTAATCAGGTTCTTTCCTTCGTAGGGTGGCCAGTGACTGGTACTATAAATCCAACAGAAAAAAAATAGAGAAAGAGAGACAGAGTGAGATACAGCCAGCAAACAAACGCCAGAACGGGTATGAATGAATGAATGAGATTGTCTTGGAACAAGAATCAATAATAGTAATAAATAATAAATGCGTTTGTGAGAATTCCTTTCTGTCTGTTTCTTAGAAAATAACTATCTAGAGTGTGAGAGTGTGAGTGAGTACTCGTACCTACCACCTACCTACGGTACTACCTACTTACCTACTTACCTACCAACTACATGCTTTCTCGCGTGCATGCATATGCGCATGTTCTGCACATGATGGATGAAGATTTTGAAATGAAATGGAATCAGATGAAGAAAGATCTGATGAGTATGATGATGAGTACGATGGTGATGGGAAGGCGGGGGCCAAAAAAAAAGAGAATTTCAAAACCTTAAAAACCCAGATATATATATAATATAATAGATAAGATGATAAAGATAAGAAGCAAAGAAAGAAAAAAGAAAGAAGAAGAAAAAAGCGGAGAGACGATTTCTACGTAACTAGATAAAGTAAAAAGGAAAAAATCTTTATGCAAGCCGGTAAGAGACACTCAAACAAGAGAATATAATATGTAACGCCCAAAAAAACTACCCCGCCAGCTAAGCCAACCCGATCAGGCCTTGTCGAGCTTGCGTCTCAGATGCCTGGTCTTCCGCAACCACTTCTTGCGCTTGTGCTTCTTCATCTTCAGCCTCCGTTGCCGTCGGACGCTGATAGCGTGCATGGTCCTGTTGTGGCGTAGGCGCTCAATGTAGGTCGTGCGGGATCCCTGAGGTTCGTCCACAGTGGCGTCCGCGTCCACCGCCCCAGGAGCGTCCATGTCCTCGCGCCGGACTAACGGCGACATGTGCGCCTCGTATGTCTTGCGGCCATTTGAGTGCGTGGACTCGCGGATGGTGAGCACGGTCGAGTAGGTTTGCGACGAAGTCGGCTGGCTCTCGAGCTGCTCATTCGGCATCGCCTCCTCGGATGCGTTGGCCTCGTCCATCGGCTCCGGAGGAGGGGGAGGGTTGAACGGACGAAGGCGCCTCGCAAACTCTTCGATAGAGGCCTGCAGCTCTTCCGCAGGAAGGCTATCCAGATGGATAATAGCGGCTTCCGCATTACTGTCGGACGCTTGAGTCACCGCATGTCGCAGGTCATCCTGATCCGAACCGACATACTGTTGACTGTGGTGGATGGCATTTTCCATCAAGTTCACGGCCGACGACAAGGTGTATATCACATCTTCTCGCCCCTTCTTGGCCTGCTTTTTCGAATCGAAAATGGCGTTGAATGTTTCTGCGTTGGTCGGCGGCGGCACGGAATTAGTCACTGAGATAGGACGGTGGATAGAAAAGAATGAAGCGACATGCACGTCTGTAGCCATGGATTAGTGAGAACAAATCCTCCTCTTTTTTTTTCTAAAGAAACAAAGTATAAAAGGGCTAACCATGTGGTTGTAGGTGTTGCGTAGAGGGAACACTAGGAAGATTCAAGAACGCAGTGTGCTGACTCGACTTTGCGGATCTCCGCTTTGAGGCACGCTTTTCCCCGGCCGGATTCACCTTCGCGGGATTCTGGGAGGATGCGTCGATTGGTCTCGATCCATCGTTCGGAGGCACTGGGGGTTTCGACGACGAGTATCGCCGCTGGTGTGCTGTCCGGGTTGCAGGAACTAGCAAGCCGTTTGACGAAGCGCCGACACTGGAGGGAGTGACGCTGGGCAACGACACGGCGGACGCGCGTACGACGCGGCGGATGGATGATGAGAGCATCGTGATGCCTGCAGGCTCTAAAAAAGAGCTGGGCAGACGAACTGGTTGTAGCAGAGCAAGTGAAGGGTAGTTGAAAGATCGACAAAGGCGAAGCGGAGAGGATGTGACCAAAGTCATCATCCGTGATCAGGTGCCAAGATCATGCGGGCTCTCCCTTACATAAGCGCCAAGCCTGTCCACTTACGGTAACCGTACTGAACTCTCATTCTAACGGCTTTTCTTTTACAACTGCCTACTTTGGGAAATGATTTAACCTTTGTCGAGTCTTATCCACCTGTCCGTTTCACGGAAAGCTTGATATTATACAAGACGGACATGGATCACATAGCGATAACGATTCGAGGACTCCTCGCAGCCCGAACACGAATACCGAAGTGAAATCCTAAGATGAATCCAAAATGTATTAACGCCTTTGTGACACTGGTATGAGACGGACAGATATTCTCAGTCACGCATCCCTGCAGGAAGAGTGGACGGAAAAAGACATTCACTCCCACAAAAAGGATCCATTGCATTTTCTGGAAATCGGGAAAGCCACCCATGAATACCCGACAAACTACAGTGGCAATCAGCCACAGCAGAGATATATAGCAACGGACAGATAGTCATGACAGATGCCACAAAAGGAAAGGAAACCAGAGAAGACAAGTGATGGTAGATATACAATCCAAGGAAATAGAAATGCATCGCATCCTCGTGCGAGACAGAGAAAAAAAAGGAAAAAAAAACGTGCTTCCCAAGCAAGCACCTGGAACGTCTGGTCGTGATGAGGTATCTTTCAAACCACAAAACAAAAACATAAGAAGCTCAATGAGACTCGGTCCGCGAGTCACGTAAAGAAAAATCTGGGAAATATGTGGCAGACGAGCAGAGATCCACAAGAAGAATGAAACAGTCACCAGGCTCGATTAAGGAGCGGATATCACCACCTCATACACCTCATCATAAGATGAGCGTATGGAGGTTCTTCTGGATAATCATATCTTGGACTGAGTCCATGGTTGCTTTCAGCAAAGTCGTGTCCGTAGCATTCGTGTAATGAATGTAGATTTCACGGTCGGGCATCCGGTTGATGCCACGGAAGCGATCGGCGAAATATTTGGCGGCCGCTTCCCAATCCGTACTGGGACCAGTGTAGTCCGGGAAGTGCTTGGAGATCGGCGACAAAGCCAGTTTCCCCTTAAAAAGGTCCATCTTATTGAGGAACAGGATGATTGGCTTCTTCTTGAACCATTCGCCGTTTGCCAACGACTCGAAGAGCATCATGGCTTCGTGCATTTGGTTCTGGTACCCAAATCGTCAGCGCATGTGGGCAAAGAGAAACACAACCATTCAAGCTTGTCACTCACCGCATTCTGGTCCTCTAGCAAGCTCTGATCGTATCCAGACAACGCCACCATGAAAAGAAGGCACTGAACACCTTCAAAACAATGAATCCATTTCTTGCGCTCGGACCGTTGACCACCGACGTCCATCATTCGGAAATTGAGCTGGCCCAATTCGAAAAGAGTCTCCGTGATACCTGTCGTTCGAAGACGAGCATGTAGCATGTCTTGATTGTCGGGCAGCCAGCCAGGGGTGAATAAGCGGTCAAGAGAGCCGAAGAAACTGGAGAGCTGTCAATTTCATGAATAGTTAAACAAAAACCGTTGTACACTTACTATTGCAAATTATCATGGAGAGCAAACTCGTGACCTCGCGCCACAGCTTGCTGCACTCCTTTATCTTCCCATAGCTCCTTCATAGCGTCTCGGATTCTTAAATCGGAAAACGCTTCTTCGGTATCAACGTCAGGCTCTGTATTCGAGATCAACTCCGCTAAGGGCTGCACGTCATTCCCAGTCAGTGGCATGTTTTGAAGGCAATTTTTCTTGGCCACCTCGGAGAATAACCCATACCTTGCTCTTTTCGAACTCAAACGCTATTTCTTGTGATTCCATGATTTCCAGCAAAACCTTGAAGGCGACAACAAGATTGGAATAGATAACCGCTCGAGTCTGGCGACGCTCATCCTCCGGAAATCCACCCGAGTGGATGATGCGCATTTGCTTGATGATCGTCGACTTCCCCGATTCTCCAGCACCTGGATCGATCGGTTAGCAGTCGGCCGCCGACGACAATGATGCTATCTTCTCGGCCCGGAAATTAGAACCGCATACCGAGCAGAAGAATCTTGACCGTCCGGTCAAGCACCTTTTTATCGGAGCGGATTTGCCGTTCAATGCTGGCATTGATCTTGGCGGCCTCCTTATCCTCGGGGTCGACTTTTGAGCTCATGCAACCCATGGTGTCGGTGTCGAACAGTAACCTTTCTGTGCCTCCAAGATCAGCAACCTGCAAGGAAAATAAAACGTGTAGATGATCAATTGACCAGCACTTGGGTCTCTGCAGCTTAGTTCTAAGTCGAGCAGACTCATTGCTATTTCTGGACGAAAATCCAAAAAGCCGCCAACTTAAAGAACTAAATCTCTCTCCCACATGTGTGCCATGCCGTCATGTCACGACCGTGTGAATGTGCTTTAACCTCCTCAACAATTGAAATGAATGCAGTCACTAACCTCAGTAAAGGGAGCAGATCAAAAAATGTTGAACGTAGCAGTGTTGATCTGCCAACACGCAGTGTTAGCTAAGCTTGCGGAAACGGAGGACCAGTCCAGAAGATGCCAAAGGAGAACCAACCGCAGATTGTCAATGCCGGCGCCTGGGTCCTACTACCAGCTGGATTGAGAATGTGACGGAATAACGCGAAGGGCTGCAGCAAGCCGAGACGACTGGCAGAGGATATATGTCGCGCCCAGATTACCCGATAAACCCCAACTGAGCTCAAGTCAGTGCAATTGAGCTTTATTTTTTTTTTTTCGGGCAGCCAGCGTTGCCGTCAGGAGGTGATGTAGGGACGAACCGAATCGCGGGTAGAACCGATGAGAAGCTCCGGAACGCAGATCAAATGAGCAGAAGGAAATCCCAGGGGCGAGGATTCCCAGCTGCTCCTGGAAGCGCAGGACTGGCGGTAGAGACGAGGGCAGCTCGCAGACTGCAGAGCAGAGGACCGCGAGGTGAAGAAGATCGATTGAGTTCACAGGCCGGAGAGAAGGGAAGATAAAGTTAATTGAGGTTGTAAAGCCAGCTCCCCTCTCTGGCTAGACCACCTGCCGATCGCTTCGGGAATCTCAGAAGAAGCTTCGAGGGCGGGAAGGAGGGCGACGACGGCGACGCAGGCGATGGGAAAAATCAGATCGATGGAGCCCGCAGCGCAGACGATGAAAACAGGACTCCTGTCGCGAGGACGGAAGCCAGCAGTGGAGAGCACCAGAAGACTCGGGCCCGAATTGGACTGAGGCGCGGACTCCACCAGCACAGCACAGCGAACTCAGCAGGCGGAAAGGGGGAAGGCAGGCATGCCGGGTAGGCGCTCCTCGCCAGGTGAGCTGCCACTCTGTACGACTCTTTGTCCGACCGTCGAGAGGGATGGCGCCGGCCTGCACGGGGCTGGTCCACGCGTGGAAAGTGGAAACCTGAGCC